TGGGTTTTTATAAGGTGGCTTGGCCTAGGGACCACTTAGTGTAAGTGTTGGGCCCATTAAGAGCCCATGGTGATGGGCTCAGGGGTTCACTGTCCATTATAGTGAATTCGGCCAAGCCTTGTAATAGAGGCTAGGCTAAATCCATGTGGTTGATGTGTAGATCAATGTTTGGGTCCCACACTATACAAGGAAACCCAACCGGGCAGCAGTTTGGAAGGTTAGTGAGCACATGGACTTAATGTGCCTAAAGCCCAATTCAAACTTGTTTAGTTAGATTAATTAAACAGGGGCGGATCTGGGATTTGGATCAATAGATAGGATAAGGGATTATCCTTATCCACTCAGAGAGTCCAGATCCAAATAGAGATTTGGATCAGGAAGCTCCTAATAAGATTAGGAGGGCAAATCTAATCTGCAGATAAGATAAGGGCTTATCCTTATCTTTTAAAGAGAGTCCAGATTCAAATAAGGATTTGAATTAGGAAACTCCTAATGGGATTAGGAGCTGATCTCTTTAAGGCTATAAAAGGAGGAGGGCGAACCTCTAGTCACTCAACTCAATCAGATCTCAGATCACAGAAAGAGAGAAGACAGTAACAGTAATACTGCGCCATCTTCTGCTCTTGCGCCCTCCTTCTACTGCCGCCATTGCCAGTTCGTTCTCCACTGTAGGAGCGATCAAGAAGGGTTCTTGATATCAGTTTTTGGAGAAAAACTTATCTGAAGTCATGCTCACATACCTTCTATCGAATTCTTGCTAAAGGATTCGGTTCTTGTGAAGAACCACTTGCTGATTCTGCTCCACCCTACATTGTGTCATCTTCAGTGGGAGCAATCTTTGGAGCTTTCTTTGGGTGTGAACACTTTCGTTGGGAGTTACTGCTACTCCGTATCAGGTATATCCCTCTCCTACCTTTTGGTTTCAGATCTGGTGTGGTTTTAGGTTCAAGATTGATCATTGAAAATGTAGATTTTATAAAACAGGGAATGTGATTCCCACATGGAAGATTTTATAAAACAGCGAAATTTTTAAAATTTCGCCCAACCTACCTGCAGGGTTCGGCCATCCATATGATGGATCTCTCATCCCTTCAATACAACCTTATTCTATAAGAAGAAAAACACCAGTTGGTAGCTGGTCAACATTCCCCTTCAATAGAAGCAATGGCCTTTCATGTGACAGGTCAATCCAAGAATGGAACCAAGAATTCTAAAGATTGACCAAAATTACGATGTGACCACTGTAAAAAGACAAGACTTACTAAAGAATGCTGCTATGGAATTGTTGGTTATCCTCCAGGCTAGGATATGAGGTAGAACTAATTCCAAGAACGGTGGTGCTCCAGAGAAACCAAATCCACCGAAATTTTCTTCTTCACAAACTTCAACAGTAGCTACGTACAAATTCGTCTCCAATAGTTGGTTTATCAATGGAGCAATATCAACAAATATAACAACAGCTTTTGAGTCTATAGCTTCATCCAACTTTGTTGGTAAGGCTTCTCCCTTACATTCGATACTGGAATCAAGATCTTGGATACTAGATAGTGGAGCATCAGATCATATGGCGCCTTCCATTGAAGATCACATCACTCATACTTTTTCCACATCTATTAAGCCAGTTCATTTACCTAATGGTACCATGTTACTAGTCCAATCATGCAATGATCTAAAATTACCTTCTAGCTTACCTTTATGGGATGATTTATTCATACCAAATTTCAAATGTAAACTGGTATCCATAAGTAAGATAACCTCAGAGCTTTATTGTGTGGTCATATTCTTTTCGAGTTTTTTGTGTAATATAGGACTTGAGCGACAAGAAGGTGATTGGACTCAGTTCGATGCATAATGGACTATACCAAAATTAGAAATCAAAGCCAATTGATGATAAAAAGCATAATGGACTATACCATCTCATAGTTGGTATATCATCAATGGCCTTACATACTGTGCATGAAGTTGAATCTAAGCTATGGCACTCTAGACTGGACATGCCTCTTATCATCAATTGGCTTTGACTTCTGACTTACATATTAGCATTCCCAATAATGCTTGTTGTGACATTTGTATGAGATATAAACAAACACATTTATGCTTTCCCCATAGCCTTACACACACTAGTAGTTATTTTGAACAAGTGCATATTGATATTTGGAGTGGGTATCATACTCCATCTCTTTCTCGAGCTCGCTATTTCCTCACCATTGTGGATGATTACTCTCATGCCACCTGGGTTTATTTGTTACAATGTAAGTCTGATGCCTATGGTTATTTGCTCATATTTTTTACTATGATACGCACTCAGTTTGGTTCCCAAGTTAGGTGTGTACGATCCAACAATGGGTTGGAATTCCTCTTTGGACCTATGCAGTAGTTTTTCACTGAAAATAACATTGTTCATCAATGATCTTGCATCGACACTCCACAACAGAACGGAGTGATCGAACGTAAGCATTGTCATCTTCTTGAAATGGCTAGAGATTTACGATTTCATGTTGGACTTCCTATCCAAATTTGGGGTGAATGTGTCCTAACAGCGGCATATCTAATTAATTACCTGCCTACCCCAAATCTCTCAGGAAAGTCACCATACAAATTATTGTTTCAGAAACCTCCATCTTATGCACATTTGCGCACATTTGAGTTCCTTTGTTATGCTGCCACACAAAAGCATGGAAGGGACAAATTCAACTCCCATTCTCAACGTTGCATTTTTGTAGGGTATCCACAAGTAGACCTGTTCATGGGCCGGGCCGGGTCGGGCTCGGGCCGGGCTTTGACTCTTTATTAACAGAAAAATGTTAGGCCTGAGCCCAAGCCCGGCCTGGCCAACGGGCCTACAACTTGGGCCCGAGCCTGGCCCTGATAAAAAGCCCAAAGCCCGACCTAATAAAAGAAATTCAAAATTTTCCCTATTCAAATAGACATTATCTATTTTAATTCAAATGTTTTTTTCCCCTATTTAAATGAATAATGGGCCTACAAGTGAATCAACAACCTTCTCAAATCAAAAAAATTATTCAAATGGACATCACATAGGGTTTTTACTTAGGTTTAACTATAGGTCGGGCTGGGCTATTTTGGCAAAGCCCGAGCCCGGCTCAAATTTTATGCGGGTCAGGCTTTTTCGCCTGAGGTTAAGCCCGCGGGCCAAAAAGCCTATTCAAGCCCGTTCGGGGGTCGGGCCGGGCCGGGCCAGCCTGTTGGGTCACCCGGCCCATGAACAGGTTTATCCACAAGGCCAAAAAGTTTATCATGTCTACAAGTTGGACACAACTCAGATATTTGTATCTCGCGATGTGGTGTTTTTTGAGGGTAAATTCCCTCTTTTGAATTTTGAAAATACTTCTACAGCTATGGTACCTTCTACCAGTTACAGATGACCAGTCATCTCCCTTGGAATCAACCACATTACGTGACACAGGACCAATAGATGATCAGTCATCCTCCACTTTGGGCCCACTTCAAGCTCAAACTAATTCTTAGATTTCAAACAATGTTTTGACAAATTCTATCTATGATACATAGAATCAGAACATAGAGCCTCATGTTCTAGACCCATCTCCATTGCAAGATGTTGTCCACAATACTGACACAACCATCCTTGAGCCTAGGCCTACTAGAGTGTGTCGACTACCACCCAAACTAAATGACTTTGTGTGTCCTACCTTAAAGATGGGTTCAAATGCTAGACCAGATTTGATTTGTAGCACACAACATCCCATTTGTAACTTCTCTCGCCCTGACCCATCATTAAATCCAATTGACCATATAGCACCTTCTAAACCCATCACCTACCAACAAGCCCAACAACACTCCTATTGGAGCAAGGCCATGGCAACTGAATTAGCCACCCTTGAGTTCACTAAGACTTGGACTTTGACAAATCTTCCCCCGACAAAACTCCAATTGGATGTAAGTGGGTCTATAAAATTAAGATCAATCTAGACGGTAGCATAGAGCGCTATAAAGCGTGTCTTGTAGCTAAGGGCTACACACAAAATGAGGATGTGGGCTACACCGAGACGTATGCACTAATAGCCAAACTTGTTATTGTTTGGTGCCTCTTGGCTTTAGCTGCAACAAGAAATTGGCATTTACACCAAATGGATATAAACAATGACTTCCTCCATGGTGCTCTTCATGAAGAAGTTTATATGCAGCCTTCTCTAGGCCTCCTTCCCAATGGCGATAAGCGTGTTTGTAAACTCCATAAATCAATATATGAGCTCAAACAAGCTTCTTGTAATTGGTTAGAAACTTTGGCCCATGCTCTTAAGCAACGAAGATTTTCTCAATCTTCTGTAGATGATGCTCTTTTCACTCTTACAAGGACTTGTAGCATTTTTATTGTTCTCGCCTACATAGATGACTTGATCATCGCCAACAGTAATTTTGGTGACATTGCTTCTATCAAACAATATCTCAACAATTGTTTTCCCATCAAAGATTTGGAACCCCTTAAATATTTCTTGGCCATTGAGATTTCTCGTTCTTCCTCAAGCATCTTTTTAAGCCAACAAAAGTATACACTCAACATTCTTAAGGAAGTCAACATGCTTGGTTGTTGCCCAAGTTCTTTTCCTATGGAACAACAACATCACCTTGAACTTGATTCTGGTCCACCAATAACTCAGCCTGATCAGTACAAGAGATTAGTTGGACGTCTCATATATTTGACTATCACCAGGCTAGAGAGCACATACTCAGTTCACATCCTTAACCAATTCCTAAGTGATCCATGACAATGTCATCTAGATGCAGCTATGCACATTCTTCTCAAGTCTTCTCTTGACCATGGAGTATTTTTTCCTTCGTCATCTGATCTTATGCTTCGGGCTTACTACGATTCGTATTAGGCTAGTTGTCCAACTACATGCCGCTCTACTACCAGATACATTGTAGCCTTGGGGACTTCACCTTTATCGTGGAAGTCCAAGAAGCAATCAACTGTTTAACGCTCCTCCGCAGAAGCTGAATATAGATCTATGGCAACAACTACTAGTGAACTGTTATAACTCAAATGTTTATTTGCAGACCTTGAGCTTCAACATCCTCAGCCCATGAAACTCTTTTGTGATAATCGGGCTGCTCTTCATATTACTGCCAATCCAATGTTTCATGAGCGAACAAAACACATAGAGATTGATTGCCACTTTATTCACACTCATATTCAATCCCGCGCCATTACTACAGCTCACATCTCATCCAAGCTTCAACCGGCTGATATCTTAACTAAGGCTTTAGGTCGGGACCAATTTACTTTCCTATTACCCAAGTTGGACATTTGGCCTCCTCCCGCACCAACTTGAGAGGGAGTATTAACTCCACCTGGAATTTGTTAAAGATCTATTAAACTGTTATATTCCTACTTGTACAACTAGGCCCACTTGCTCTCTTGCCAACTTCAATTAGTTGGATCAATCTCTATTTATACCTCTCCACTCATTAATGAAATACAATAAGAATTTTTCTTCTTGTAGTATGTGTAGTCTTCTCCTATGAGGAAACCAAAAAAAGAAAAAAAAAAAGGAAAAAAAAGCTACTCCATGAGAATTTTACATACTCGCTCAAAGCCTGAAAACCATTGCAGTATGTGTAGTCTTCTCTAAAAGAGGAAACAGAGTCCAATTGTAAAGAAAAACATAGCAATTCCACGGGCATGGATAATGGATCCATTTGTAAAGGTAAGTCAATTAAATGCATATAGGGTTCGTTTGGGATAGCTGAACTGAAGATAAGCATTGGTTCAGCTTCATAAATAACATAAGCCATCATAAGCCATATTTGTTGACAACTGGATTAGCTGCTTAAGTCAGATAATCTTGGCCATTCAAAGAGGCTGAAGCAGGTAACCCTTCAACAGTTCAACTCGCTGAACAGACAGCCGATCTTTTGGATTCCCATACGGACTGCCAGAAGCCGCTGTGCTACAGCCCTCCCAAATGGACACGGGGCACAGATTTGAATTTAATGGATATGGGGGGGGGNGGGGGGGGCAGAATCATTCTTTTATTGGGACGTTTCCACTTCCATAGATTATAAACACCAAAACCATGTATTATAATTCTGAAACTGTGATCAAAATGGGATTCAATAGCATAGTTTTGTTATTTGGCGGGAGTAAGGGGGTTTATATAGCAGCATCAATTGGTTAAAAAAAAAAATCTAGATACATTGAAAAGTAATATGTTAGGCCCGGAAGCCCGGTGAGGGTGGAAATCCTGGCAACGCAACTCTTATAGCTTAAGGAAGGTGCGAACTATATGACTTCTCCATGTTTCTAAGAATCCTCCTTAGGCCAGAAGCCAATCCGTCCACACCCCAAAAGAAAACCATTAGGGTGCAAATGGATCGGATCATGATCCTATCTGATCCGAAATTTGATCTTATTTGGTTGAATTCAAATCACCCCTATAAGATCCGGTATATGTTATATATATAATACATATATATGTTATTTATTTATTTATAAATATATTATTTATATTATATTTTTATAAATTTGTTATATTATTTATTTTTTATAAAAAACATGTATGATGAAAATAATTAAAAAAATGCTTATATTTTTGTTTTTTCTTTATTTAAATTGGTATATTTTATTTTTATTTTAATAATTTATTAATTAAAAAAACAAGTCAGATCGGATCAGATCTGAAGATCCGACTTACCGACAGGATTCAAATTCAAATCGAGGCCTATCAGATCCGATCGAATTTTCGGATCGAATAGGCTCCAACATGAATAGTGTCGGATCCTATTCGAATATACCCTTATAAAAATCCAATCCGACTCATTTGCATTCCTAGAAAACCATACCCAACCAAAATTGCAGATTGTACTATTTTGTTTACTGGTAGCCCTGAATATAAATCGATAAACAGGAAGAACAGCTTTAACTTTTTACAATAAAAACTTCATCATGGATGACAGCACAATAAAACCTCTGGAATTATTCCATTTACTTCATGATACAGAAGAAGCATATTGTTTGTTTTTCATCCATTTTCTTATCTGTTTCTTTTCAGGCACGACTATATCCGGCAACTTTTCACATGAATCAACCTATAAATTCACCTAAAGTTGTTGCTGAAACACATCTACAAGGGGATGGACTCAAGGCAGATACATTTGATTTCTACCACAATTAGATATACGTACCTGCAGAGGCATCAGTAACAAGGATGGAACACCTGCTACCTTCCTGACATTAGATTGACCAGAGCTTGGTTCTCATAGAGGGTGCCAACATCCCAGTCTTCAGATGAGGATGAAAGTGTCATCAATACAACAACAACGGACTTCATACGAGGCCTTAGCTTTGGATCCCCTTGTGTGCAAGCTCTGGCAAGCTGCGCCATCTGCATCCAAAGTAGCCACAATAGTTTATTATAATTAGTTAACCTTGGCAATACCTTTCTTAAGTAATGCTTCCACCTTATGAACTGAGTCAAGTGGATAGTCATCCCCAAGCCTTGGATCGACAAGTTTGCGGAGATCTTCTTTTGGAGCTGGTTGGGTAAGAACATCTTCAAACTGCATAGTATTATCGAAGTATACAATTAAGTGTCAAGCTTCAGTAGATTTTTTTTAATTATTTTTTTTGGCATTAAGTAATAGTAGCATCATTGGCTATTAGTTTATAAATTAGGGTAAAGTAGGAAAAATAACCATAGCAACAAGAGTCCTTGGTTCAGCACTGGATCCATCTGGCTTGACTATTGCTTCCTTAGCTGAAATAAGTTCATAAAGGACGACTCCAAAAGCATAAACATCTATCTTGGGAGAAACATCACCTAATCGACCATACCTACATGTAAGCACAGATAGTTACTGGTAAGTTCATATTTTGTTGAAATAACATCAATCCTGAGTTTATTTTATACCACACCAGGGTGCTTAGATTGGGCCTAGTCTACAGCATATGCTTATACCCAGCAAACATAACATCTTTACATCTATCATTATTATCCTACTTTCCAAGTAGAAAGATGTGGCAACCAAACAACCCACAAGAAAAAGCTATGTTGCACCAACAAGAACTTGTTTATTCTCAGAGAATATCCACCACATAAAAGTGCACAGGCCCCAAGATACTGAATCTGTGATGAAAAGTAAGAGGATACTATTGGTGCTTAGGGGCTCTATATATCAATTAATCATGTTTTGTTTTCACTAGACTGAGTATTGTCTTCTTAGTTCTCTAATAAAAACTAACTTTGGTTTCTTCTTTGTGATAACAACAATGCCTTTCTTTTCTTCTTTTTCTTTTGTTCCTTGAGAAAGATCCAAACAGCATAGAAGGCAATAAGGACCCTTACTGACCAAATTACATGGATTCCTAGATACCAGTATTTTAAGAAAAGCATATGATGCTCACACCTTGATGTTCATGCCTCAAGGTACAAGGGACATTCACATTCCTCACACCTTGAGAAGCCCTATTCATGTGTAAACTTACATGTATATGTGTACAAGGGTCATTCACATTCCTCACACTTTGTGCCAGAAAAATAAAAGCCAAGGTTAGGTCGGCATCAATCAACCCTTCCAAGACCCCAAATAGATAGGCTAACATTGGATAATTGCCTTTTGTATTTATGTGTATGTATATCTATATATTTGTGCTTGTATCCATGATTCAACATATTTGTAAAGGTAGTATTTTACATTCCAAGCTTTTAAGTATTTATTAAATGACTAAGAATATAATGGTTTTCTCTAGATCGTTTTTATGTGATCATCTATAATAAAAATATGCTCCTCTTCTGTATGTTGTCAAATCTTTCTCATTTTAGTTCTATGTTGTTTCTTAAAAAATGGTATGCCTCAAGGCTTATGCTTCACGCATCAAAAAATACTGATGCTTCTCTTCATACCTTTGTGTTTTTAAACATCAATGGAGATCAATTGCAGATGGTTTATCCAAGGGGATGGAGTCTTTTTGCATAGAGACAGCTCTATGCCTTAATAGCCTTTTGTTTTTGGGATGGGGCTCTAGTTCTTTGTCTGAATACCTCTATAAACCATATCATGCAAATCTTTCACCATATTTAATACAATTTATCTGTTACTTTCCTTAAAAAAGAAAAGAGAAAACAAAGGAGAAGAAGATAAAAAAATATGAAGAATTGGCAAACCATTAACCCCCTTTGGTTAAATTGCTCAGTATTATCTTACTAGCAAAACCTTTTGGGTTCATTAAACAAATCTTTATTAAGTTAGCTCTATCTGTTCTTCTCAAAAAGTGTGACTTCCCCATTGGAGTTATCTACTTCCTAACCCTTCAAATTTTCTCTATATTCATGTGAATACCCCCAGCCTGATTTATCAGTTATTTAATGATTCAACTAGTCTGTATCAAAAATATATAATTCAGCTAATTTGTTTCATAAAATTAATTAGATGTCCTTCGATGAATTGTAACAAGAGATCCTGCCCAAGTAGGAACAAGAAGACCATGGTCTAAAATGTAGACAAAATATATTGTATTTGGGTTTTCTTTCAGAGAGGGCATTGGAGGTTACAAGGATATATTTGTATAATAGCAGTTGGAATGACCTCCCATATGATTTTTGCAAGCTTTGGAAGTCCTTGTAATTCCCAGAAATTCAGCAGTTCCTTCACAGTATTTGGCATGACCCAATTAGTACCCAGAGCTGCAAGAAAGTGGTTCCAGATTTTTGATGAGATAGGGCAATGGATGAACAGATGACTGCTGTCCTCTTGTTTTAGTCCACAGAGCACACAATCTAAATCCTGGATCTGCATACCTCTTTTTAACAAATGTGTTTTAGTTAAACATTGTCCAAAGACGCAGCCCAAACTAAAGCATTAACCTTTGAGGGGGCTACAGAATTCCACACTTTAGCAGCCAGAAACTCCACTGGTCTAAGGTTATACAAGTGTCTAACAAAAGATCTGACAGAGTATTGACCATCCGAACTCCAACTCCAAACCCAACTGTCCTCTACAAGCCCATCCAGGGACTGAAGTGATATTATTTCCAGAAGCTCGGTGAAGTTTTCAATCTCCCAATCTTGAAAATTCCTTCTGAAGGAAGGGCACCAGATCACAGAACCTTCATTCACCTCATAACACTCCCTTGTAAACGCATCCTGGGATTCTGCGATCTGGAAAAGCTGTGAGAATTGATCTGAGAGAATTGCCCACACCAAGGATCCTTCCAAAAGAGCAATCTATCCCCTTTCCCCAATTTGGGTCTCAAACCTCTGCTAAAGGTAGGAAGAGTGTCCATGATTTTTTTCCAAATTGAACAGCCCAGAGAGTTGAAGTGAGGGCTAGTGATCCAATCTCCCCTGTCGGTATTATATTTGGCTGCCATTAATATTCTCCACCATTCTTTTCTTTCCAATCCAAACCTCCAGATCCATTTCCCAATAAGTGCAGTGTTAAAGTTCCTTACTTTTCTGATACCCAAACCTCCTTTATCTTTTGGTAAACACACCTGCTCCCAGCTTACTAAGTGAATTTTCTTCTTATCCTCCCACCCCCTCCACAGAAATTCCCTTTGTAACTTCTCAATTCTATGGGCTATTTTCCCCAGGATAGGGAAAAGAGAAAGATAGAAAGCAGGGAGGTTAGTCAGAGCACTTTTCAGAAGTGTAATTCTGCCCCCTAATGACAAGTACTTGGCTTTCCAAGAGACCAATTTTTTCTCCAAACACTTCAGAACTGGTTCCCAAATCAAAGCAGAAGTACATTTAGCTCCTAAAGGGAGACTGAGTACTTAGTTGGTAAGTATCCCACCTGACAGGCAAGCTTTTCTGCTCAACCCTCCAAATTTTCCACCTGTCCCACTGGAAACAAACTGCTTTTGTTCCAATTTACCTTCAAACCTGATACTACTTCAAACAACTGACCACCCCAGCCAAAATCTCAATTTGATCTTCCTTTGCTTCTACAAAACATAATGTATCATCTGCTAATTGTAACACTTGTACCTTTTCCCCACCTGGAGACACCTCAAATCCTTTCCAAAGTCCCCCCTCCCTCACTGACTTTATGAACATAGTAAGACCATTACACATGAATAGTAGGGGGGAGAGAGGGTCTCCCTGCCGAAGTCCCTTTGAGCTTTTAAAGAAACCCACTGACTGTCCATTAACCAGAATAGAGAATTTAGGAGAGGTAATACAGACTTTTATCCAATTCCTCCACTTTTGGCCAAAACTCATCCTCTCTAGGACAAAGTCCAAACACCTGCAATTAACAATTGTCGTAAGCCTTTTCCAGATCCAACTTACAAATCACCCCTGGAGAGCCCTCTCTTTGCTTAGAATCAATTATCTCATTTGCCACCAAGACACTATCCAACATTTGGCACCCTGGGACAAACGCAATTTGATTTTGAGAGATCACATCAGCAAGGACCTTTTTCATTCTCTTCATTAAGACTTTGGCTAATATTTTGTAAAAGCTATTCAACAAGATAATTGGCCTGAAATCCTTAATATTAGTAGCTCCTTCAATCTTCAGAATCAGGGAGATGAATGTGGCATTCAGACTCCTTTCCAGAGATGCATTCCTATGAAAATCTTGGAAAACTTGCATCACATCAGCCTTAATCACATCCCAACAACTTCTATAAAACAAGTTGGTGAGCCCGTCTGGACCTGGGGATTTCTCTATCTCCATGTTTTTTATTACTTTCCAGATTTCCTCTTCCAAGAAAGGAGCCTCTAACAAAATTTTCTGTCTGCACTTCAAAAATTTTTTTGAAGTTTAATCCCCTCAGCACCAGTCTTCTTTTCCACTTTTCTTTAAACAAACCTGAGAAGAAGTCAATTAACAATTTCTTTAACCCCGGCCTAGTTTCTTCACTTAACCCTTCAAACTCTAGCCTTTCAATTGTGTTTATTCTAGGTCTTTCCTTTGCCATCTTGTGAAAAAAACTGGAGTTCTTATCCCCAGCTTAAGCCATTTCACCTTTGCCCTTTGTCTCCACTTCAACTCATCTCTATATACCAGATTATCAAAAAGTAATTTAGCTTCCTGCCTCTTAATCCTTTCTACCTGTGAGATGGGATCCTTCTCTTCAGCTGAATCAATTTCTTTAATAACCTCTAGACACCTTTTCTTTTCTGCCTCTGATTCTTTCCACCTCTCTTCCTTCCAGATTTTCATTGCCTCCTCAAAAGCTCCCGACTTCTTGGCTAAGACATAGGAGCTTGTTCCCTCTACCTGTCTCCATCCAAGTAGTTTTTAAGAAGGGAAATCTTCTTCCTCAAACCAGGCATGTTCCAACTTAAATGTAGATTTTCTCTGACCCAACACACCACACCTGAGCTGGATAGGAGAGTGATCTGAAACCAGTCTGGCAAAGCCTCCTAAACTAAAAAGTCTGGAACAACGAATCCCACTCCATATTTACCAAAAACTTGTCTAACTTAACTAACGTTGGGGACTCTTGGTTGTTCGTCCAAGTGAATTGAGCTCTCAATAATGGTAAATCCAGCAGATCATGTTGGTTAACAAAATCAGAAAAGCTCCTCATCTCCCTAGTCCCTCTTCTGCCCCCATTCCTCTCCTCTAAAAATCTAGTGACATTAAAATCACCTCCCAGCACCCAGGGTAGGGTGGAGGATCCTCTCGCCTCAGTTAGATCCTCCCAAAGTTTTCTCCTCTCCGCTTCTTCTGATGACCCATAGACATTAGTGAATAGACCCCTAACCCCTCCCTCCATTTCTAAAACAACTGATATTGAAAAAGCCCCAACATGAGAGTCAACCAACTTACATCCAGTGTTTTAAAAGGTGTGGGAGGCGTACGCCTGGAGGCGAGGCGCTCCCAAAACGCCCTGAGGCGTATGCCAGAGGCGCTGACACCTCTGAGGCGTACGCCTCAGGTGCAAGAGGTGTGCTAGAGGCATACACCTCTTGCACCTCATGCACATCTGATATGAAAATATAGAAAAAAGAAGGAAAAAGAAAAAAAGGAAGGGAAAGGAAAGGAAAAGAAAAGAAAGGGAAAGAAAAGGAAAGGAAAGAGAAGAAAAAAAGAGAAAAGGAAAGAAAAGAAAAGTAAGGGAAGGGAAGAAAAGATAAGGGGAAAGATTTTTATTAAAAATATAAATAAAAATAAAGATTTTTATGCATCTTTATTCTTCTTAATATAAAAGATTTTTATTAAAAATAAAGAAAAAATGAGATCCCCCCTTCCTTTTCATCCTCCTCATAACCTCCCTCCTCTTAAGGAAGCTTACGCCTCCTTGTGTTTGGGAGGCTTACGCCTCTTGCGTTCTGAATTACGCCTCACACCTCTAGGTAGTGGAACGCCTCGCGTCACGCCTCCGCATTTTAAAACACTGCTTACATCTTGATCGATCCCACATTGTTATCAGCTCCCCTGCAGTACCTCTTGCCACCTTGCTTATCCACCTAACTTCCCCTTGTCCCCAAAGACTTCTAATTACCGTTGCCTCCACCCTTTCCAACTTTGATTCTTGAATGAACACCACATCAGAATTCCACCTTTTCAACAAATCGCACACTACCATTCTTCTTCTCCCCGACCCCAATCCCTATATTCCAAGTCAAAACTTTTAATTCCATAACTCTAACACAATAAGCTCCCTAACTCCCTTCTCTTCCCTTTCCTCCTAACCATTTCCCCCCTCCCCTTTTCCTGCCCTATCATTTAAACCCCAAGCCAGACGGAGTATTTCCCTGTTTTTTTTCATCGAACTCCCCCTTTTTTAGCATTCATTTTTCCTCTCTCAAACAGAACTCTATTCTCTATCTCCTCCAAAAATTTAATGGTTTCTTCTTCTATTCCTGACATCGAAATTCCCAGAAATTTTCCTAACCCCAGCAATTTTGAGTTTACCCATGCAGAGGTTGGTTCCACCTCCTTTCCACCCTCTACTCCTTCCTCCCCCTCCTTTCCCGCCCTCTTTTGTCCCTTCCCTCCCCTCTGTGCATACCATGCCTGTTCATTGGGGTCTTAGCCGGAGGTAGCATCGGCAGAGTGACTAACTCCCTTTCTTCAATTATCGCCAAAGGGATGATCTCCTCTAGTTCAGATTCTTCTGAGGATAGAACTTCCTTTTCTTTCGCCGCCTCTCCCTGTTCCTCTCCCACAGTTTGCCTGGGCGTTGAAAACTCAGTTGTACTAGGAGGGATAGCTGCACACAGCTGGCTGTTTCCTCCCTAATCCGTCTTCCTCTCTTTCCCAAGCTCCATTCGACCTTTCTCCCTTCTGGGAGTTGTCGTCTTTGTTCTGCTTGCCCCTTCTGAGCTCCCGTCCCCTGAACTTCTTTTTCTAATAAGTTATGTCTGAAATTGGGTAGGCGTATGTTGACTACCATTTCCTACCGGGTCACCCGATCCCCACTGGCCCATACCACTAACCCCAAAACTCCCCATCGGGCTAAGATCATCCGACCCACCATCTTGGCCCTGCCTGAGTCCTCTCCCCCCTTCTGCTTGCGGATAAGCTATGTATCTCTTGTTCTCATAGTAGATATTTTTCCTCTTTTCCCGTGGATGTAAGCTACCAAGCGGAACCACACTAAATCTTGGTGTCTTCTCTATTTCTTCTTCTTATTTTCTTCTTGATTTTCTATTCTATTTTAAGTTGGTTGACATAAAAGGACATTACCCAATGCTGGACTCCACTAAGGGACATGGTCTATATTAAATACCATTAATAAATTAAACTAAAATTATCAAAATATTATACATTATCAATAAAATGAACTAGAAATAACTTCTATGAGACTTGAACTTATGACTCTTTCACTAAACATACAAAATTCAAACCAATTTTACTAATAGATACAATATAAGCTTCATGTAGATATAAGCACATGTACTTAAACATTATCTTTGATCCAATTATAGATAGATCAAATTCAGATCACCCTTAACTGCATCAGATTCAGATTCATATTTGGACAAATGTTTATTGTTTGCAGCCTTAGTCATACTTATCTATACCATGAACCTTTAGATCATTAGATATTGACAATCATGACATATCTTCCCATTTAGAGAGAAAAGATATACCAACAGACTTGATGGCCATGCAACCAAGAACATTCAGATGGCTGATAGAACAAGAGACTCGGGAAAAAAAAGACGATAAAAATAATAACTGGCTGATAGAAGTACCAATAAGATTAAACAAGAAAACAGGAGAAAACTCACTCTGGAGGCATGTATCCAAATGTTCCCACTAGATGTGATTGTAATGAAGCACTTCCAACTTGAGTCAACTTTGCCAGTCCAAAATCCGCAACCTAAAATAAACAAGTATTGGTAAAAATAAAATATATGAACTATCAACATCCAGCTAGATTGTGAAAGGGATCATGCAAACCTTTCCATGGCAGTTCTTGTCTATCAAAATGTTTGCTGATTTAATATCACGATGGACATACACAGGAACGGTATGCTCATGGATATATTCAAGACCTCTTGCTGAATCAAGGGCAATTTGCACTCTAGTAGACCATGATAGTGGTTCCTTCCCTAAAAGCAGAGAAAATAATGCACCATGGGCAGTTGAGAAAACATAAATTTGAGGCAATGGTTTTATGTTGTGCACTATTGAGTCTCACCTAATCCATGCAAATTTTGGCTCAAGTTTCCTTTCTCAATGAACTCATAGACCAAGCACAAAGAACCCTCAGTGCAATATCCAATCAAGCACACCTGCATTGAATCATTTAACAAATTATTAATAAATACTAGACCTCTTAAGGATCATCAATGCAAAATAGCTTCCGTACAACCATGCAAATCAAATTAATCAAACTTTTCAACTAAGTTCAACCATGTGAGATGCACATCCATTTATCAATTCTGAAATTCACATTTTACCAGTTTTTCATTTTTCACATAAAAAATATGGTATTTTGGCTTTTGAAAAGAAAACTAAATGCTTTAGTTGCCTTGACAGCAAGAACTAGCCATTGACTACTAGTCCAATAATCAAGTTTGGCAAAATGACACTGTACCTTTTGTTACAAACACTATTGATTGTTCAGAAAAAAGAATTTGTATAGAATGGTAAGTTAAAATTTAATGAACCAAAGAAGAACTAAGTTTTGCAGTGTATTGACAAATATTGGATTTCTTGATTTGGAATGACAAGGGTCCTCCATGGTTGAGTATTCCAAGTTGAATTGACTGTACTAAAATAAGGCAGCTATATAAATTAAGAGGCTTGCAACAACAAAGATTAAATGATAAGAAAGAGGCGAACCAAAAGGGAAAAGGTTATCTTTCAGAATAGATGCCTGACACATGAAGACAGGAAACTTTACCAAGTCAAATGCATTATTCAGTGGGAAAGATAAGAAATATACAAGAAGAATGATGAATTGACTAATTAGTTTAGGTGTCCATGTAGGTCAGATGATTACAGATGAATGTATGTTGCTTTCAGTCAGCTATGATTCCTTGCTAAGAACTAAGCTATTGTGACATTTCAGCATGACTTAGCCAGATTTTCACAACATAACTACAATGACTTATGGGATTTTCTTGTGTAAATCATCAATGGCATAACATTAGGAATATTTTATACAACCACTGGGGGAATCCTATACCAGGTTCAAGTGATGAACATGTGTCAGAACCTTCAATTCAGCAAGGAATTCCCTTGTTGCTTTCATATCCATCTTCTTGATTGCAGCTTTCTGCAAAAAAGAGTTGTCAGAGAAAAAGAAAAGAGCAGGAAGCAAATATATTCAGCTTCAAGAAAAATCAGTACAAGCAAGATCCTTTGGAGGCTGATAATCTAATATTGGACCTATCAGATTTCCCCACATGACATAGAGAAAATGAACTATGAAAAGAGTTAGGAGGGTAAAACATATTCCCTTTTTTCTTTTTTTAACCCAAAAATTCAAACAGAGGGGCACAAGGCAAAGTCATGAAGTTTATATAATGATGTAAACGAAAATTAAAAATACATCCAACAAAAGGCACTCCGTGTACCATGAATAAGAATATTAGATTCCGCCCAAAACCATATCTGCTCACCCTTAGATCCAATTCAAGTGCTAGAACAAAATGCCCCTTCGCATATTGAATCTTGGTGATCCTTTAATTGTTGATGGTTAGAATCACAATGACAGAAACATGACTAGTATATTTACCTTTCTTAATGTGAAGAATGCTTATATTTCTATACTCTTAAAGTAAAAACAAAAGAATCAAACTATGTCACATAGAAAATGGCAAGGACATAGCATGGAGAATGTGAAAACATGCAGCAGTGTCCATCAGCATTGTCAATTGAATAAAGTGGTGACTAGTCATTTGGCCTCCCTAGCTAATGCAATGACTAGTTGATACATAGGTGCTAAACTAACTGACCACAAAAAAGATACAGTCTAAATTTAAGATATTGAACGTAATCTTAACACCAGTTAATATAGACTTCAAATATGCAATAAAAGAGTTGACAAAAAAATATAGTCAGTCTTCGTTTTGCAAACATAAAAAGATGGATTGATAGGCAGAGATAGGAACTCATAGCTTTTGTGGCAACTCCTTACCAGAAAAGCACTGATTGAAAGAAAGATCTAAAAGAATTCCTCCACTGTTGATGCAGGTTAAAAAGAAGAAAAGTGGACTATTTGCAATTTTGGGAAGTTAATGGGAAATCAGGAGTTTACATATTGGGGCCCATAGAGATTCAATGCAGTCCACAAGTTCATAATCCCATAAAAGGAAGTTCATTAGAAGGTCCTAGACACCTAGGGTACTGGCAGAGTGCTAAATTTCAGTCTTCCACAGATTTACTATTTTTTACTAAGAACTTACTTTATAGTAACTAGTAAATAACGTAGTCCTCAGGACAGGAAACAATACAAGCATATTTTGCTTAGGATCCATTATCCATGAGGTAAGCATTTAGGCTGGGTAACCTGGGTTTTTAATTGATTTAGGAGACTAAATTATGCTTGATTTGTGATTTAATAACATAATCTAGAAGAATGGGACCCACACCAATGGAACATCTTGAAAGCATTTTTGCTGGATTTTTTTTTTTAATTTGAATTAGGAAACGACATGATTTTAGAGTTAGAGCAGGACCCACACAATTCCACATATTTTTATTTTGAATTAGAATTTATTATCTCTTTTTTGTGAGTGGAGATTTACTATATATAGTAATTCCCATTATTATTTATAGTAAATTATGATTTGTTATTTTAAATCCTGGTTTCTTATATTACTTTAGTGCCTCTTTTGCAGCTATAGCAATCCTATTTGAGCTCACATATGTTACAGTCATCATCATACAAATTCTTGCAACTTCCCAATAAAGCATTGTAGTCCAGCAAAGATAAAAGAGAGAATAGAAGAAGGAAGAGAGAAGAAAGGGAGAAGAAGAGTTCTATTCTATTGTTCTAGGCTGGTGGCGCCTAAGTTTATATTTATACTTAGGGGGCGTTCCTTTTTTGGATTTTGAGAGGGGGGAGAGTTGGTCAATGGGATTTTGGTTCCCATTGACCAAGAATCCCATGTTCTTTTTTCAGCTTAATGTGGGGACCGGGGAAAGTTTATTTTCCTGCGTACTACTTACCCAGGAAAGTGATACCCATCTCCTAGATGGGTAAATAACTTCCCACATAGGTGGAAAGTTGCCAACAGTTGAATGGGACAAAAATGCCCCTTTTAATAATGAATTTCTATGGATAAAATGGTCATTGCCTTATTTACCTGGGAAATAAAAGAACATGAGTAAATGCACTTACCCGAGTAAGTGTTTCCCAGGAGAAACTTACCCAGATAATTGCATCTACCTGGGTAAGTAACTTATCGAAAAGTGAATGGGGCCTTAGGGCGACGACTTATAACATATTAGAAGAGACAAAACCAAAAATACCCCTACACTATTACATTACATGTTACAACGCCCCCCTCAAGTTGGAGCATATATGTCAATCATGCCCAACTTGTCAAACAATTCATTATGTCGCAAACAGTGAAGACCCTTTGTAAGGACATCAGCTAATTGTTCCTTTGAACTGATATAAGGAGTATAGACTTCCCCCTTTTCAAGTTTTTCCCTTATGAAATGCTTGTCAACTTCAATATGCTTGGTCCTTGTTGAAGATTAATTAGTTTTATGATGTTTTTCTGAGTAGATATTTTATGTTAGTTGTTAGATAGGTGGGGACCACAGTAGTTATGTGAGTCCAAATTTTATTATGTTTTTTGAGTGTTATATATGCTGTTTTATGTTTTGCCGCCCTATAAGGGTATAGTTGTCTTTGTACTGTTCTATTATTTTAGTATAAATAATAAGTGAAGGGGG